CTAATTATTTCCTGCCATGTTTAATTTTGAATCCAATTAGCAAAAGATTTTACACTTGAGTCTTTCATTGGGTGAATAATAGACGTGCGATAGTGATTAGGCTTCAAGGAATTGAATATTAGGTTCCCACATCACACAATTATGGTCACTTTGAGCTGCTGGTGGCAAAGTCAAAGGGTTTTTGTACTGATTGTCAAAGTTGGTGATAATTAAATCCAATACAGCATTTTCTCTGGTTGGATCAGTGGATCACACAACCTGTTTCATATTGTTTCCATAGCAGATTGGATTGACATCAAACTTATTAAAGTCCCCCAAGATGACTAGGCCAATACAGTGTATGTGTACCCTACAGTCTATGGTAGCATCGATGATCCTGATACAATAAATTAATATGTGTTGAATCTGGAGCAATATAAACTGCAAAGATTGCAATTGCAGGAATGCCTCTCGGTAACTAGGGGTGATGCACCAACAACCACTCTCCTTCGATTTCTGGTGGGATCGATGCTGTAAACATGTCACTAACATAGACAAGTACCCCACCTCCTGTTCTAGACTGTCTACATGCACTGAAGGCACAGTACCTGTCTATTGTGTATTGTTCTGAAACCTTATTAGTAAAGATCCATGATTCAGTTATCACTGCAATGTGAATTTGATTAGAGTGCAGGACAGTCTCGATTTCGTCCAGTTTATTCAATACAGACCGAGCATTCGTTAATAAGAAGCAAGGTAGGTTGACCTGGTTGGAATGTAGGCCTACTCCTAGCTGACATGTACACTCTGTCAAAGAAACCAAGTTCTGTAACTGCATTCGCCGTCTAACATCAAGAAGGCTTTGTGTTTTTCCCCGCCCACCATTTCCAATAATTGTTTAAATCCCAAACACATCCGATGGATTAACTTGAGGGGATACAAGTATATCATGTTTCCGTCTACCAGCTCTCTTTCCTCTTTGCTTGGGATTACAAGTTCATGTGCATAATACCTTCATAACTATGCATCCTTTTTCATTGCACGCAGCCATAAGCTGTGCTAGTACATGTACCTGGTTCGTGTCTTTCTCTTTGGAACACTGTCGTCTGCACTTTTAATGTATTGCTCATCGAGCCGTACAGCTTTTTGGCATCTTCCCTTCGTACATTTTGTACCTTGGCATAACATTTGCATTGATTTCTATTGCTTACATGTATGTACATGTAGCTTTGAATTGTTGGGCCATTGTATTAAACATGCTAGCCCTGTCTAAGATGCTAGCCCTGTCTAACATGGTAGCCCTGTCTAAGGCTGCCTGTGTGATGTGTCACCTCAAGTATTTTGTGAGTTTGCAAAGTAGAGCATTCTGCAGTAACAGCATCTGCAGATATTGAAGATTCTTTCCCCTGGGCAGGGGCTTTGAGCCTGGGGTTCATTCAGGAAGTGGCAGTGTTGGCACACCTTGTATGTATCTTTATCATGAAATGAATTGAAGAACAAACTTCTTACTTTTTTTCCTTAATACGGCTATTGATTTAACGACATCTCGGCCATTAGGCCTTCATCAGGTTAAAATCTTACGGCACCAACCCAGTAAAACTCACAGCTAAAGGGTTAAAAAAGAATGAACCAAATTTACATTCTTCCTTACAAACCCCCAGCCAAACCCACGGTACTTATATTTCACTCCCATTCAACATGTGGAAATGAACGACTTTGACCATGTGCGGCGGTTACTTGACCAGACCCTCATGAACCATATGGAATAATCCTCAGCATGCAACTTGCCAAACCTCTGTTTAGCGTTCTCATTTTGAAAACTCTGTTTGCACAAAATTAACAAATGATCACATTGAAACTCTTTGTTTGCGCTCTAGAAGACTTGAACTGAATAAACACCACAGATGTGTGAAAAGAAATGCTGCATATATAAGAAAGTTATCCTCAAGGCGGTTGCTAAGATGATAAACCATTTCCCTTTTCAATCGATCTCTTGGTCTTTTTTCCCAGAACGAGACACAGCATACGACAGGCCAGAATCTCAACTGTACTCAATACAATCAGTTTTATCTAGCTAGATTTCTCTGTTTGACTTTTATAAGTTATTTTAGACAATTCTGCGCATTGCAATCTACGTGTTTTACATGCATAAAACCGATCCAGCCACGTACCGTACACGTTACAGGTGTACCTGTAGGCTTACATGGAAATCAAGTGTCAGAGCCGGTGTACATGCATGTTCATGTGCTTCATGCATGTATCACACATGTAAAACTGGGAATATATACCGTGAATTTATACATCTCCTGGCACTATTATAATGACAGATAGACCTCGGTTTCAGTAATAAACTTCATGTTAACTTACTGTACTTTTGTACTGTACTGTCATTGATGACGTCATTATGACATCATAAATTAAGCCAAATTTATCATTTATCTGTTGGCTGTAACTTTGATGACACTCAAAGATCTCAAGTTTATCAAAATGGTGGTTTGCGAACGTGTACAAAGTCAATGGGCTAAAATAAATATTGAAAACTCAGTAATAAATCAGATGATGATGTCATCATGACATCATAACTTTAATGTAATTCTTCTATCAGAGTCTTTATTGGCTATCACTTTAATAGTGATCCAACATCACAAAGTTACCAAAATGGTGGCTTAGTAATACATGTATGTACAAAATCAATGGACTACAAATGCATATGCAGAAACAAAAGTGCTCCTTTAAATTCATGTCAATGAAATATTACTTGATGCTTTGACTGTTGGGCGTATTTGTCATCGAAGAGAGAGAAAATTCAATCTGATTTCTCTTTTGTTCTGGTAGTAATTCTCGGTCGAAGTTGAAGACTACTCACTCATTGAGCTTGATAATAGTGTGTAGTCAAAAGACGTGTACAAAACCTATGGTAAAGTATTAGATACTCAAAATTAAAAAATGAATCATGTGATGACGTCATCATGATGAGTTTTTTCTAGGACCATCCTTAGATGATTGTCTAAAGGTCTGTTGAACTACCACAGTCTAGGGTGACAAAAAGACGTGTACAAACCCTATGGAGAAAAGTTGAAAAAAGAAAAAGAAAAAAAAGGAGAAAAAAAGTAATAAGGAAAGCCGCTAAATACCAACCGGATTTTGTTTTGGAACTTTAACCTTGGGATTTCATTCAGACGTTTGTCCAATCACATCAGCTTTTGATTGGGCAAATACCAAAAGCGGTCAGAAAGTGTCAGATGTCTAACAGTAATTTCATGCTCTGGAATCGCGACCCTCCATTCCAAAACTGAGCTGAAGTAGCTTTAATGATAAAAACTCTTTTTCCCAGTTTTAATTAGGATACTGCACACACAGTGATCCATGGGTAAAAAAATTGTCCGCAGAAAGCTTTGAAAAAGTTATGGAATTTGCATTGTGTGCATGTACATGTAATATTGGTATTGTAGGAGACCATGCCTCAGCCTCACTGTTTTAATTCTAACACATAAATATGCATATTGTGTAGCTGATCTACATTGTATCTGGGTTATTTGCATATTTGTATGCCAAGTAATTATTTGGTGACCTTTGTGCTTCCCGCGTGCAAGGGCTGGTTGTACGTGGTAGACATATACCAGGAAGTCCAAAGATTATTTTAGACAACTGACTGAATGTATCAAAATTATTGTCATGTGCAATAATAACCTCTTGTATTATGTGATATTTGGTGACTTGTTAATTGAAGCTCATGTTACTTTTACTATAATTTACTTGGTAAGTAACACTTTGTGTATGAATATATAAACAATACAGTATAAGAGACGGTTGAAAACTTTGACTGGGCTGGCTGTGGAGTTCCACTTTTAGAGGGACGTGGAGAGCATGGGTATATTTTGATGTCAGCAGCACCCATTTTTACGTCTGTGTAGGCCGTGTCCCATGACGAATTTGTAGTACAGTCTACACAGAAACCCCCAGTGAGTACATGTACATGTACTTCTTGTTTTTGTTTGTGATATTGATGTGTTATGATGTTTAAGGACATTGCTGTTCACTTTTAAGTATCCTATGTAAGCAACGATACACATGTATGCTATAGTCTGTGAAAGAACAGTGTGTATAGATACACTTTGATCATTTGGAGCTCTCATTATTTTGTGATTTCAGGCAATGGGGTTTTTGTCACTCCAGGATCTAGCTTGTAAGGATACCTGTGACAGTGGCTGATCACCAATAAATCAAGGCTACAAATATCCTGCTGAGTCTGTCTCAGTCTCTGTGCGTGTACTGTGCTGGTGCTTGTTCCATTTCACAATGGGACTGGGCCTCCTTGTAGCGTCACACTAGAGTGTTATTTTCCTGAAGTCCTCTGACTGCGAGTGGAATGAAAGATCTCGCCTTTTTATTTGTGAATTTCAACAGTAAATTTACAAGGCTGCAAATGCAGTTGAGTTGGTGTGATACTGCATAATAGTGGATAGTGCATACAATGTAGTTAAACCACAGAGCAAACTGTTGCTCCATTTTGAGAATCCCTCCCATTGGCATGAATGTCCCACTGAACGGGTTTGCTGATCTTATTCTTGAGTCTAGTGCTCATCACTGTGCTTGCCATTACAAATTCTTTGGTTCAGTCCAGACCAAAAGGAAGTGCATCGGTTTTCATATTGAATTCTCGTGAAAACAATTGCAAACAATGATTCTTCAGGCCGGAAGATAGAAATCAAACATTCTGTGTGTGGCATGTCAGAAAGTATTCACAAGAGCAAAGAAAGTTGGTTGCCTGAACAAAATAACGCCAATGCTGTCTGATGAATATGCTAGATTGACTCTGTGCATTGAAAAAATAAATTTGATCAGTCACATATTAATGAAACCTTATAATAACCGGATTATTAAAAAGGACACCACAATGTCTGTGTTTACCTGGCTGTGGTAAGCTTGAAGTCATAAGCTGCAGCTGTTTACCTCATGAAAAGTATTTACTCTGAAGTTCCAAAGATTTAAATCTCTTTGTCTTTTGTGTTTAAAATTAGATTTCAGAGGAGTTGGGTCTCAAGCGGCCTTGGTTTGTTGCCAGTTCCCCAAACACGTCTACAGAGACCTGTGTGGTATCAACATCTAAGAAGAAAACCCTGCAGTCACATCCGCTTGGAAAGAAGAAAGACATTTCCTCGTAAGTACTTTTTGATATGAAATTTTTCATCCAAGTTACATTCACAATGTACATGTTACATGGTGATGATGTGTAGACTGTACATGTATGTATGTTGTTTGGCCATAGCCATGCAAAATACAAGAGTCTGTGATATTTTAATACACTGAACCTCAAGGACTGTTGTTTGGTTGGTGAACAAATGGGTGTGATTTTGAAAAATTGGTCAAATTGGTAACAATAATTGAGTTTTGATAATTAGATTTTTCAGTAATGTTGAATATTTTTGTTACAGATGAGCTGGATGACTTTTCTTTTTTGAGGGATTTCAAAATGTTGTGGTAAAATACTGCCAAATTTAAACTGTCTTGAAAACATTGATTGATTGGCCAGTGCCCTCCTTGACTGTGACTTTGGGGCAAAAGCCATAACGCCCCTGAGGCATGTCACAGAGGATGAAATGAATCAACACCAAGGAAGCACATTTCTTGTTCTTTCAGAGACATACATTTCTGAAAACAAGTATTTTTATCTTCTCTGTCTGTTGTTTCTCTAGGCCTCCAGGCTACAATGCCTAGGTCGAGGCACCCTTGGCTTCAATACAAGAAACAATGAAAAATAAACTCCTCCATTTCTGGACATTCTCTGTCATGTAGCTATTTCTCTGTCATTAGTCCTTCTTTTCTCACAGTTTTGTGCTGAAACTTATGAGGGCACTGTCAGACCTACCTGTATCAGTGGGTCCACTTTTTCACATCTGTGCAAATAAGTTAAAACACGTCAGTGTCAAGCCTTATACATACACTGGCATGCAACACATTTCCAAGTGAAGATTGGCAAAGCCGTTGTCACTGATGCTCTGCTTTCCCTGTTTGTCCAGATTCAGATCTCCACGAATGCCACCTCTGAAGATCAGAGAATACTTTGAAAAGCAAGAGGAAGCAACCACCTTCTTGACCTCTGAGACATCCACGAGTGGACTGAGTACCTCTTCAGAAATTCCTAGAAAACAGCAATATTTCGATCCAAACGTTAGGTCACTCAGCACAGAACCCAACACAAGTGATAATTGTAGACGATACAATGCTGGGAATTGGGAGGCTCCATATAATCCTGAGGTTTGTGAGATCATTGAAGTGACAGATTCTGATGACAACAGCCAAGGAATTAGCTCAGATAGTTCTCCCATTCACCAAGTGGATGTAAAACATGAAATAGTTGATGTGTCAGATGACTTTTTACCTTCAGACACTATTGCTTCCATGAATGCGACTCCGCATGGACATCAAACTGCTTCGCCAGAATGTGTCAAACTTGAGACTGACAGCAGTCACTTGTCTGACAATGGCCTTCTAGGTTCTGATAGAGAGATCATTCCTCAAATTGTTGGTGTCAGCAGCTTTGAGAATGATAATGAAAGCCGAGACCAAACCTCTGATCAACTCTTAACCGAGTTGGCTCAGTTTGTGACAAAAGAACATCATTACTATACTCCAAGAGACAACACCGAAGCTGATCCCCTCAGGGGTAAAACTCCAAAGGCTAAAATCTCAAATGTGAAACCAATCAGGGTCATTAGTGTTCAAAGTGTTTTTTCTGATTCAAATAGTCACAAGGGTGGAATTTCCCTGGCATCTCAGCTCGGAGAACAACCTGTGTCCGGCAGTAATGATACTGAAAACTTGTACGGGGAAGTGTTTAATAAGCTCAGTAATACTGGCTCTGGATCCCATCTTGCCCCAGACACAGTTCAGACAAGTGCTTCTGCGGATGATGCATTGAATATTGCTAACCTGCTCTGTGATCACCCGACATCTCCACAGAAGACTGACCTGAAATTGAATCAGGCCTTGGACAAGATCAAGGAACTGGAGAAGGTCATCAGTGTTGAAAGGTTTGGACTGCACCGCTACTCTGGGTCAGATGAAAAGATTTTGTTTTACTCGGGTTTCAGGTCTGCTGACATGCTGATGAGGTTCTTCTGGCGTATCGAGCCTGATGATTTGGCATCAGAGAGGTCGAGCAAATGGCAGAGTGCGCAGAAACTTGCTGCAGAAATGATGCATGTGTGTGGGAGCAGCGGTGACTTCACAAGGAAGGTCATTCCCTACATGGATGAGCTCTTCCTTTTCTTGTGCCATGTATGGTTAGACCTCCCCCCAGAAGACCTGGCAGAAAGGTTCACTTTACCTTCCAGCAGTTGTGCCCAGTTTATCATACTACAATGGACTTACTACCTAAAAACCACGCTGCCGAGTACAGCAGAAAGCACAAGGGGCAACTCAGCACCCTCCAAACTTGTCGGGTTCCAGGGCCAGTACAGCAACACAAGACTTCTCCTTCACCGCATGGAAATTAGGGTACAGCAGAAGTCTTTGATGAATCACTTAAGCTGTCTGAAACTCCAAGGCTTGGTCGGTTTCTCTCCATCTGGTGAAATAGTCTTTTCGTCGGACCTTGTGTCAGATGCCACCTCCAACAGAGACCTCCTGGAAGGTAGCGGTGTCCTGTCTGTGCTGCAGACTGGGGATGGAGTCATAGGAGAAGGCGACCTCATGATAGAGAGCCTGTTCTCTTTGATGGGTGTCGCAGCGCACCACCTTCCAGCCTTGGATTTGCCGCATGACCCAGCATCACTGCACGTCGGCTCCTCTGGCTTTGACCCAGACAGATGCCACGTAGAGGTGGCCCGGCTTCTCTCTGCGAAGTTTGTGGGAAGTCTGACAGGCTTCAAGTGTTTCCAGAGTGTAGTGTTGTTCCCATTTGCACACAGTGTCACAGACCTGTGGGAGGTGTGTTGTCGACTTGTGAATTACCAACGAGGGCATCGGTCATTGTGATCATCTTTCAACTGCTTACCATCTCTTTTTACAGTAGCTTCTTCACTGGACTTAAAATCCAGTGGAAAAACCTGAATCTTGTAAAACGTTGCTCTGGTGATCCCAATGGTGTTCTGTTCTGCATAGCCTCTGGAAATTGGACTTCCTGGGATCTTTCAAGGATCACCAACAGGTTTTCTACATAATTAGCCTCTTATTGTGGAAAATGGACCACAGTTTGAATAAGTGCACATTTGTCATGCTGTAAAGGTATAAAAAATTTCACGCATAGATTCTGGGAATTTGTATATCTGGCACAATTTCTGTTTTAAGTTCATGAGTAGCTTTGTGGGAAAGTTCTTTGTGTCTCACGCACCAATTTGCCATGGTATTTTGGCATTGCAATGTGATTGTCAAATTCTGCACATCATTTCATCTGCATTGGCTGGTGCCCATTAGCTTCAACCCAGACTTCTATCTGGTACAAGCGGATCACTATGAAGCCATGAGTCCTTATAATGAAGGATTGTAGGCAACTTGGAGGAAAAGGATGTGAATATGAATCCACTCACTGCCTGCATAGCGTTGGTGACTTTTATTCTCAACATCAGAAGTTGACATCAAGTCACGGCGTACTTTGAAAATTTGGACATAATACATGTAATATAGATAAATAATGGAGGAGAATACTATATTGCATCAGTACCTTCTCTTCGTAGGTGCTTGGCATGAATTATTCTTTGAGTTTCTTTTAACATCTGTGTACATACATGTTTGTGAGAAGAGGACTACATTAAAAGGGAAAGACATGACACAGTTCTGGATGTTTTAAACAGGGCAAGGAAATTATACTGGGTACATGTACTGCATCCACGTTTGCAGCTGAAGAATGTGATACCAGGTTTTTTTTTCACTGCAATGGATGAGGAAAGAGTATGTAAAGCCCATTTGAAATTGTAAGGCATGTCAGCAACATAACAAACAGAACCAGAGCTGGGTTTATGACTTCACTTGTGTCAGCTGTCTCTGTTGATTTCCACAAACCAAGATGGAAGACGTGTACTCTTATAAAAAATGCAGCCCCCGCCTGAATACTTTATTAACTCTTACCCGTGTTGGTTGCCTTTGATGAAATGTCCACAGAAAATGTTCCATTTCATACAGCTTTTCACTTTCAGTGGTGTGGCTCAGATGTATGTTGTTGTAATTAAAAATTCAACAAATACAAAGAAAAACGAAACAAGAACAACAAAAAATCGATTAAGATAGTGTTATGAACTCTTATATAGTTTACAGTGGTGTAAATCTGTGTTGGCGTGTGGGATAGGGGATGACTAGTGGGGGGGGCTGTTCATCACTGGCATTGATATGTGTTGATAATGATGATGATGAAGTACATGTAAACGGTCAAGAAAGTCAGTTTGAAGCACTTACATGTAGATGACTTTACAGTTTTGATCAGTTTGATTCAAAACATTGACTTTCAGGAAACTATGACCCGAGCTTTACAATTGCAGATCAGACCAATAGACCTGCCCAGTAGTACGCGCATGCATTAGACAGCTTGTCCGTGCTACTACTGGAAAACGGTGATTTCATTGAATTGGTAACCACGCAGTCATCGAAAGGGGGTTAAATTTGCCGTCAAAAGAAAAACTGACTGATACTTTTAATGTATGTACAAATTACTTTGCATAGATGTTTAAGCAATCTCTAATGGGATACCATTAGCGTCACTCTTTTTTGGATGCCCTATACATGTATGTGCAAACAACCAAACATACCTCGAGTCGTATTTACTGTGTTGTGTCCATATCCGACGGGGGCATTATAGGGTAAATAATTATTGTTTTTGTCCAATTGATAAAATCGGGGCAGGTGTGGGAGGAGGGCACAGACTACTGCCTGAGTAGAGATAAGGGGGTACACCATTGCCCGTAGACCTCACACTGGATGGTTGTGTTTGGACGTTTAGTGGAGGACCATGTTATGACCAATTACATGAGAGGAAGTATATGTGAGGACTGCTGAATATCTGCCTAAAATTTTATCTCCAAACATTGTCACTGACAACAAATAAAATTTGGTTGTTTTTACTTGTGTTAAAAATTTCCGCGGTATTATTGTCATGTGTATCATACTAAAGTTATGTTGCCCTAATATTCGTGTGGTTTCATAATAAAACCCGTCGTATCATGAGCCGGATGTAGGATGACATGTAGGTATGTTTTGCTCCTCAAATCAATGCAAACTGAAATCGCCGAAAGTACGGTAATTCAGATTTATGCTCTTGGAAATATCATTGAACATGTTTTTGAATAATGTTATGGATAATGATATTCAGATTCAGATTCCAATTTATTATTGCCCATGCAAAAAATTCACATAGAAATTTACCTTCCATTGGCTTGTTACAAAGTAAAATGAGACAGTAAGTTATTGCATTCATGGACATTACAATTACAATCAATAACAAAACAACAAGATTGCATATGAATTAACATAAATGGCAATCAGAGTCTACAGACATACTAATTTATTTAATGGTATTGTATATTATCATCCATTTTCACCAATAAAAGTGTATGGGGGGAAATCCAAATAAATAGTTACCGTCTCACATTTGCATTACAATTATGCACTATGTCCTACTAGTGACAATATCTTTTGGAACTATTAAATTCTAATTGCACCATAGACTTCAGTGATAACCAAACAAAATAAAACTAGATACTTTGTTGAAACTCTCCTTGTTTGCTTCCGTTGAAAGTTTTTAGCTGCAGTGAAATTTTCTTAGACACGATTTTCCTGCAGCTCTGTATTCTTTTACACTTTTTAAATCTTGAAAATTATCCATGCTATCCATGCTACTGAGGACGCTAGTGTGATGTATGCTCTATCTGGGCAAGTTCGATCAAGGACCTCTAGTTAACTAGTGGTTGATTCGTGACGTACCTAGCGCATGTGGAGTGAAGTTAGAAGTGCGAAACCCCAGTCAACCATTATTAGGTCGTTAGGCCGAAGGGGAAAAAAGGGTGGCTGCAGGAAGGCAAAACAGCAAAAATTACAGTGAAAATGGTCGTTTACTCGTGACATACTGTTTTCCCGGCATTTTTCTTATAACTGGTCCCCTGTGCTATTAAAAATGGTTTATAGCAACCAACGATGCGACCAACCTCGCAGGCTAGTCGCGAATAGTTGACTAGACTAGTCCAACCATCGTCAAATAACGTGCGTTTGATCAGAGATAGTCGAACTATGGCTACCTATGGTCCTTGATCGAACTTGCCTCACGAAAGATAACGTATTTCGGTGTATTGGGATTGATGCTTGCCTTTTGTTATGCATATAGCAAGAATCAGCACAAAAGAGAAAGTTTAGTCTAGCAAAATTCTACAAAAATGCAGGACTGTTTGTGTTCCAACCAAATGCAACATCGAGACTTTCTTCTCGGGATGACATCACTACATTTTGCTCCTGAATATGGAAATATATTATTAGCATACGACCAAAAGGGCAGTAAAATCTGGTCCTCCCAGGTTGATATCACACTATTGCCCAAGAATGTTAAAATACTCAGCATAAAAGTCAAAAATACAGTAAATACCCTTAAAAAAGTGAAACAAAAGCGGAAAATAAGGTTCACTGACACACAAAGTTGCATTGTAAAGATCTGCAATGAAGCACATTGATTGGAGCTTAAACAAAACCCGAATCGTGAGAAATTTGCAGAGATTAGTAATACACCGTCTTTGACCGTTACCTGAATTCTTAGATACCTGAATCTTTAGACTGTCCAAATGTTCCCTCAGTTCACTCAGTGCTATGAATTACATGTAGCTACGTCAAGATGTTAAAATCTGCACTTTTTAATCAGTAAAAGAAAATGAACATATACATGTGTTAATATTAAAAATGCCCTTTCAAAAGTGAAGATTTGATCTGAAAATATTACCTCTATCGATTAACTTCTATCTTTACTTCATTTGCAAGATGACATTTTCTTGTCCAAGATTGTAATTTCTTGTCGCCTTTCATGTTATGTTGTACCATCGAGCCAGTGGGCTGTGCTCTCTCAGTTCAGAGGGAAAATTTATAAGGCGAATCGCTGCTTGGTGATCATGATTCACAACACTGTTGGTTTTATCTCTCAGATTCTTGAGTTGTCCTGTATTCTGGCGCTTATTACTGACAGTAACTTAGCTTCAGTTATCAAATGGCTGCGGGGGGGGGGACATTGCTCAACCTCATGTTATTTATTTTCCCGATTGTCACAGGAGCGCATATTTTTTTATGCCGTCAAGTTCGTCTTAATGTCAAAATACACATATTTGACGCAAATGAACGAGGCTTTTGGAAGAGTTTGACTTCCGGTGCCAAAAAAGTCAGCATGATTGAGGGAGGAATTTTAGGGTCATAAATGTAAGGCTGTCTATTGCAAAGATTATGAAATCCTTTGAAGGAAAGTTCAAATCTGTTTTGGTGCCTTCTCAGGTGTATCCACTACTCGCCCTGTCCTACATAACACCGTCTTTCACCACCTTTTCAAAAAATATATATATATCCCATCAAATACGACAAAGAATGAAAAACACCAGAATCAATTTTCATCCCTCATGCAGTTCCATCCAAAAGCAAGGATTTTTAATTAAAAATATGTCCAACCTCAAACTTGCAATCAATGGTGAATTAAGAAAACGTTCAAACTTGCAATCAATGGTGAATTAAGAAAACGTTTCCCCTAAACACCCGTAGTTTGTGAGTACGTGTACTCAAGGACGAGTATTTGGCTGCACCCGGATCTGTTTAGAGCTTGCTGTAAGCTTTGCATCATTTGAAGAAAGCGGAGACGCGCTGACAGTAGCCGAAGCCTGGGAAGCCCTTTGGAACGGACACGGCCTTTGCCCGTGCTATTTAAGGCACTTATTGGGCAGTTGGGGAGGAGTGGTTGACCCGGAGCAGGAGGTTGGGTCCTCCCTTGGTGTCTTGGACCACTCCCGGTGTAGCTTGCTGCAGTATCCGCTCATGGGTATCACGGGGCGTTAGGTCGGGGGACTTCTCTAGGAGTAAAGCCACAGCGCCTGTGAATGCGAAAGCGTGAGACAAAGGATTGAGAAATAAATGCAAACGAGTTTTATACATAGTTTTGTTCCTTTTTGTTGTTTATATGTAATTGGGCTATGAATATGACTTTTTTTTTAAAGTAAAACGGCAATGATGTAGCGGCGGCTACCGACTCTTTGTTGCCATACTTCGTAGACAAACATGCATGGCAAGTAAATAAAACAACAATTATTTTTTCTTTACAGACTTTCAGGCGACGTCTCTTGTAGTTACATTTTTTCCTCTGATTATTTCTTGCCGTTGCATTGAGGGCATGCCTCATGAATACTAGTTATAACCTTGGTCAAGGGGTCCATCATTAACCGCACCGCACTCTCTGTTGCCTCCGTTGCTTTCTGTGTGCAGTGCAATGGAAAAGTCAAGGTAAACAGCGCCCTTACGCGGCCGCTGTGATATGCGAATCAGCTGAATCTCGACTGCGTTGCGGGTAATGACCAACGCCCTGATCAAGACTGTTGCAGTTACGAAGAATGTATAAAATAATAAGCTTTGATTTCAAACAACGTTGTGAACTGAACTAACGCGCCTGCGCATACCGAAACGTAGCCTTGTATTTATCGTCTTCGATGTTTTCGTTATCCTTTTAACTACCCTAATTCCGTCGATAAAGTCCTCCAGGATCAGTGGCGTAAATCTGGAAATCGGGGGCATGGGCGATGGGGAAAGGTCGGGGGATGACATTAAAATTTGAACAAAAGGGAGGGGGGCACAATTTGACTCTGTATAGAGGTCGATGTTCGTGATATTAATGTCCATCTGTAATATTTATTCAGAATGACATATTTATGGCTTTTAAACTGTCTGTCCTTTTTTTTGAGTGACAACGAATGCATTTTAGTCGAAAGTCTGAAAAATTCTTCACCATCCACTTCAATATTTCTGCTCATCACAAAAATGTGTGTGTGTGTGTGTGGGGGGGGGGTGATTCAATAGCCCACCCCTACCCCCAAAAGGTAGGGGGATATGTACCCCTCATCCCCCGGGATTTACGCCTGTGGTAGGATAATTTGCTGTGATACGCTCAGAATTGTTTTAATGCTTAATTGCCCATGGCCGGCCTAGTTAAATGCCTTTGGAGAGTTACGGTTGGCGTTGTCGAAAATCTTCAGGCATTTGGGGAGACTTTCCGCCCGTTTCGGAGTAAGATACACTCTTACCGGCCACATGTGGGCATGCGGCAGACGTCCCCGTCATGTAGTTGTACCCGCCATCTGTGTACGTGGCGCACAGGATGTGTTCACCGGGGGCATAGAGGTTCACACAAGTGCCGTAGTTAGAGAAAGAAGCCCGCCTATCCTGCTCATCCGTCGCGGCCACTGTCAAAACCTGTCAAAACAGTCATTTGACACAGTCTTGTTTATGTTTATTGATCTTCGGTGAATGCGAAATGTCTGTATTTTGTGGGCAGCCCCCTTTCAGAATTTGGGCTACTTGCTCATATTAATTTCTTGCAAAACTGATCTGTGAAGTGTACGTCCTCACGCATAGCATGTAGTGAAAACAGTTTGTGTTAACATGTTGTTTTAAGCACAACCTGTGGTTGTATGTTATATCAACACATAACTGAGTTACCCGAATGTGTTCGCCCATTCAACTAAACTGTTATGTGCAATATACATGACTTGATTTGTCTGCCTTCATATTGGACATCTTATCCGCCTCAAGCAGAGGCGCCCCCTCATCGGTTGAAAAGGTCTGTGTTGGTAGGGAGTGTTCATTTTGTTGGTAGCGATGCGACCGTGACGAAATTCAGTTCCGACCAAAGGAACCTCCGTTACCAAGAAAGTAGCGCCTTCTCTTGGTATACAGCTCGAGGTCCATAGTTTGGTTACAGAGCCAATTAACTGTATCAAATCACACGTCATATGAAACATATGACGCATATTGAAACATCCATGCAACCGGATCTCTCTGGAATACAAAAGCAATATTTCCATTTGCCTTGTTGCTTCAACTGCTCTCAGCACTTGCGCAGTATGCGTCAAAATATGGTCAAGTTTAGAACGGCGTTTTCACCATGGAAACTCACAATGGCTTTTCACCCGGCCCAATAGGATGTCCAGCATGAGGTCAGAGATTCAGTTGCGCATGTTTTCCTGTGAAAATGCTTCGTCCGTCTTGCATCATGTGTAATGGCTCTTGTAGTTGGGAAGTTTCCTAATATTACATACTTTTTGTAGGGATACGGATGGTGCATCTTTGTGAATGTGCACGGTTTCATTTGCACTCAGAAAAACGGTTAGCACATCCAACAAGTCCACAACGTAAGTTGGGACTTTTGTCACGAAAAATGCATGTATTTTTGCGAATAATGGAGCCGCTTTATTACAATTTTGCGGTTGCAATTTCAAATTACAATTTGGCAGCTTTATGTACGACCTTGCCAAGTGAAACGGCGCCGTACGATTTTTTGTTATTGTCTGAAACAAAAATTGATGCAAATGGAACAAAACCGAGCATGTTTTATTGATGAATTAAACGGCTTCAGTTAAAATCATTTGCTATAAAAACGTCGATGAAGTTTATTACCTTGATTAGTGCAACTGAGTATCTGTATATAAAAAAGACCCGCTACTTCGCACATTTTATCTGAGACTGTCATTTGCATAATACCTATAGTAAAATACTCGGCGCAGTAATCTTTCAGATGCATGGAACAGCTGGTGTCAAAAGAGAGAATAAATCCACTGTTCTTAAAAATAGAACAATTTACAGCCTTAGTTGGAGTCATTTGAATTGCTAATGGAATGATCTTGTGTGGTACTCAATGTTTATCTTAATACTGAAATATGTGATGGGCCATTTTTACATTTAATGCAAATCGTGTTATAACTTTTATTCAGAGAAAAATCAACAGCACTGTTAAGTTTACTTTGTCACAGTTGTCCAAAAATATACATGTATTCTGTTTGCTGAAACTAAAAGTCGTCGCCTACATTGTAACCATTTTCCAATAGTTAATCGGTTCTAAACTAGTTACTGGTTTTCCTTCCAGTTCGTTTTCTCACATCGAAGTCAGTTGACTAGAAATAATGATCTGTCAACAGCGAGATTGTTTTAAAGTGATCGGAAATTCCCAAGAAATTGTTAAAAACGATTGCAAAGTGTATAGGCCTAGGCCTTTACCTGACATAAGCTGATATTTCAGAAATCTTTTGACGTTTTCTCCAGTAAATATGTCCGGAAATCTAGTCTTTACTGATCCATGCAATGGATTTTTCTATGATTCACTTTTGTGCATCTATGTACTCCACTTCAATGTATGAAAAATGTTCAAAATCCTTTTGGAGTTAAGCGTATCGAAATGCATACTTTCTAAGTTAAACATGGAAATGCCCAAGCGTTTTCGGAAAGTGAGGGCGCTATTGCTGTGATCTGAATCAGGGAAAAGACACTGTTCAGGTTACTTGTTTTTATGTTCAAATTTTGAACCCCAAATTTGCTCTTTGAGAAAAGGTTGCTCCCTGGCTTATTGCCATGTACACGTACTTACGCATTAATAAATTGCCGAACAAATGGAAATTCACGATTGTAAAATAAAAGAAATCCCGCAGTTTTTGGGGCACAAATCAATGCAATAGAGAGGTTCAGTACCTAGAATGATATCACAATTTTGTCATGAATGTGCAAATTTGCATGAGCATAACACTAAAAGCTGCAAAAGACAGGCTAAAATTAAAAAGTAAAACGAAATTTATTTGGGCACAAAGGTGCAATTTCAAGGGTTTTCATAAAATAAATCACATGGTCCCTTTTAACCACTTGTGTCGACACGAAAAATTCAGAACTTTGTGCGACTTTATACGCATATCATACCTCAGCCACTCTGCCGGGCGAGTCGGTGCAGGCATTGTAGTTGTAGTTTCCTGCCAAGGCAACCACGGTGACGTTTGTCTTGGTAATAAAGCTACGTATTACATCATCCAAGTACTGAGAACCGCCAGGCACGTAAATCGATGTAGACACCACAGCCGGCTGTTTGATCCTTGTCACCAGATAGTTAAAGGCTGCAGGAAAGTGAACAAGCACCCAACTGAAATTGTCAGATATTTCCAATCAGCACTTCCGATTGCTGACCTACATTTGTGAGTGTGGGAACAAATTCGATCGAACTTTTCCGGTGAAGTAAATTGGGGGACCATCCAAAGTTTTCCAAACGGATTTAGGAAAGTTCAAACACAGCAAAATATCAAATGAAGAAGGAACATGTCAGAAAATGTCCGCCGGGAGGCGAATAGTAGCTGAGCAGTTGGATATTGGTATCAATGAAGGTTGGACCAAAAATAGGTCTATACTCTGTCCAACCAGTGCAAATCAAAATCATGGAAGAAGTGTTTTAAGCATTTTAGAATACTGTAGGATTGATCACGTGTCACTGATTGGTGTAGGCCTACCTGCTACGACACTACCCTCATCCGTTTCTAGCGAGCACGAAGGAAACACTTTCAGAGAGGACAGGTTGACCCTTTTAGCCACGCCAAAGTTGGCGCCTCCGATGATGCCCGCTGCTTGCGTACCATGGCCATTGCAGTCCTTGCCCTATACATGCGGTCGAAAGAGTTCGTAAGATTAGCATGGAAACTGAAGGTTGTACTGCGATAACTAGGCCCCAATTAAATGGAAATCACCGATGCGCCCACCAACTAACTTATCAGAATTTTGAGGCCTCTACGCCCGAGAGGTGTTTAAATGATGGGGTCTAAATCGCAAAGAATGTCTGATGTTGGGTTACATATAGGAATTGTGAAATAAATTTAATTAGAAGTTAGCAAATAACATGAGATCCGGACCGAAATAGTCGCGTGGTTATGCCAACACATGATTATCTTTTATTGTGCAATGCGATATGCGCGTTGTGACGTCGTCGCGTTTCGGAACGAATACCGGTATCGGTCGAAAAAAATATCAAAAATTGGTTTTTATCTACGAAGAGCTCTGTGATACTCTTGCTGTCGTTTGCTTCGCTGCCTTTTGCCGACAAAGAAAGCACGTGAGTGCGTGGTCTGAAGCAGAAATTGACACTTACATCTGCATTGAAAGAATCAAACACAATCTGCGCTCTTCCTTTAAATTCCTGGTGGGTCGGATTGATTCCGGTGTCAATCACGTACGCTGTCACTCCTGCACCTGTGCCTAGAGCAACAAAAGCCGATGACTGATAATTTTAGCCCGGATTCAGGAGGGAGCTCCCATACAAATTAATAAATAAAAAAAAATCTCAAAAGTGCTCAGAGCACATAGACCCCCCGATGAAATTATAGCCTAACCAAAATATGCGCGAGATCCCATGGCATGGTTACCTTCTATGTCGTAGTTGCCGTCCAACGGCAGCGCGTCCTGGTTGATTCGGTCAATATTCCACAGTGGGGCTGGAGTTTGGCCGAGTTGTACTGCACCAATTTCCTGCACGTACTCTACATCGCCTCTGCGTCGAATCTTAGAAAAGATAGAATCACTCTTTCAGGTGTCGGTTTTGCATGAAAGGTTTCGATCCTCTAGCACAGTCTTCCACAGAAGAGCTTTAAAACATCTTCCGTGTTTCTCCCTTTTCTCATATAACGTCTATACGATCCGAATTTTAAACGTTATACAAATTGTTAGCTTTTGTAAAAAAAACATGAAGCGATGCAGATTGATACCGTTTTGTCTGTTGAATTATGCCGTTTAAAATCATTTTAAATGTAAAAAAAACCAACTGAAGGCTGGTTCTGTTTTTTTTTAAATAAAAGTCAGTGAGAGCACCGATATCTGCAAGGACAAATCGACTACACGATATCGCTCAGTGTGCTTAATTTTGCAAGATTTGCATCTCGAGACTTACTTACTTCATCATAACTCTTGACGCAATTTTCGTAAGCCATGAGGTCGTTAAGCAATCGTCTGAATGGTACATATATATCTCAGTGCACCAAGTTTTATGTCTCACGCGCATCCACCGCACTTTTTCTCACCACATTCATCAGGGCTAAGGGTAGTCTTGCTTCCAGCCCCTGGATGACATCTTTATGTTGGTTCAGGACCCTTTCACCACCCCCTCTCCGCAAAGGACCGTGAGACTGTGACAGTGAAGTAACGAGTGCATCAACATCGCGCCCGTCCTATTAGGAATGAAACAAAAGGTGTTGTCTAACATTCTAGCTTGTATTGTTTTATTAACAATCGCAGAATTCAACTCGCGAGTCACGCAGTGCTACCTTTCGAATTTATTCGAACGTCAAAAGTATTGTCTCCTTGAGCAGTCTTTCCATATCCAAATAGTACTGTCATTCATAAGCGTTTACCTGTTGGTCAAGAATTAAATTTAATGAAATGACATTTTTTCTACATCATTGCATTCAAATTGATTTCCGTTGTACGAGGAGAAACATAAATGAAAAAAACTTATTCGTGATAGCAATTACCAAACATCAACTTTTCATTTGAAATAGTCCAGATAATTAAAGACAAATTAAGAGAAACTGAATAACACGTTTACACGTGCACAGTGTAGGGACAAGTATTCGGCGTTGACTTCTATTTGCGACAACCGTAAACACAAACAGCAGAATGATACAAAAATATTATTTAATTCAAAACATTATTCATTGAACAACAAATATTGCAGAATAATTTTTACAGAAAGATGGCGAATAATACACATCGTACCTCGATTGAACGCTCAAATTTTGAAATTAGAGACACCGCACACAAAAACGACAGAAAGGAAAGATAGAAAGCCTTGACAGTTTATATGATTACAGCATTTTGAAAAAGGCAGTAATCAATTGAATTTACGGATGGTGAAAAATGACGTGGAATACTCATAAACGTAAAACATGACTACAGCGAACCCGAACGCAAGACCAAACTGTGCCCTCGAAAACTAAATTGAATGTGGTAATACCAAAAACTCACAGCATAAAGAAGAAGGAAACTCTGTAAGAATTTGAGAGCATGCTGACAAAGGTCAATTTTGACTGACATGCCAGTCCTCAACTTTGTCCCCCCGTATTGTGAAACTATTACACCATGTCTGCCTTTAGAAGTGGTTGATAGATTTCAGATTTGACTTTGCTTTGTTTAAAGTTATATTTGACAATATATGTATAATTAATTGGGAATTAACGACAGTTTCATTCATTTTAACACAAAATAGGTTGACACACCAGATCACCATTCAAAAAGTTAAGCATTCATTCAATTTAACTGTATGAATACGCGATGCACACTAAGCAAAAAGTCAGCATTCAATTTGGAAAAAAAATCAAAAGAGCATTCAAATTCGTGCGGACACCTCCGCGGTGAGCGTTTGGGCGTGCAGTTTCATGAACTGGCAAGTGGTTGTGAAGTATGTGCAACGTTTTTATGTAACATAAACCTTCGATGTACCTTATTTTGTCACCGTTTAAATCAGTATGAAAAGGGGGGGGGGTAACACAAAACTCAATAGTAAGACATTGCCCAAGTAAGCACGCGTATAGCTATAACATAAAGGAATAATAATATACACATGAACAAAGTGGGAATGCCTATAGTTTGGATGAGAAATGAAATGAAATCAAGCAATTAGAAGTATATTTCTGATTGGTTGTTTGAGATTGTATGGCATTTTACAAGCTAATACGTGTTACGTAGCTACATTGCTCATATTTGTTTATGTATGTGTTATCCCTTTCTTTTCTGTACGCATCTTCGTGTCTCGTATATTTCTCTTATCTTGAAGTATACACTACTTTCCTTCTCCGGTATGAAGGCTCGAAATGTGAACGAAAGACAAAGTAACAATTTCTCCTTCACTGTAAAATAAATATTTGATTTTAAATAATCTTTTAAACCTCCTTTTGCTGTAACCGTCAAAAACAGTCAAATATTCCGTCCACTTCCCCTGTACAGTACACTTTGTATATCCTATGTCACTTGACTGATTTTGACTGATAGGACCACTGTGTTGAGAGTGCATCTTTGCGTAGGAGGGTTAATGCCTTTTAAAGGCAATTCATCGTAGCATTTTACGAACGTGTTGTGGTGTTATTAATCCCAAGCTAAACTCGTTGTGGTGTTTATTTTTTAACCAAATACGTGTTGATGTCTTAGTAAATTTAGTCGCGTTACATTTGGGTGTTAATAACACTTCCTGAACACCGAAACACGTTTATTTCTAAAGATGTGTTGAAGTTTAAAAGGTTGTCTGTTTGCATTTAACGCAAAGACACGTGTCGGCCTGCAGTGCGCGTTGGTTTGTATGGTGTTCCTGTCACCAAGTGGGAAATTGATGGACGGTTGTGCAATTTTAAGTTGACCGAATTCAGTCCGAAATTTAATGCATGAAAGTACAGTCTTGTTGATACTTGCAAACGAATTTGAAGGCTCTATCGTGTGTAAAAGAAACAATGAAGCAACGAGCTGCGAAAAAATCGTTTGAATTTGATTACATAGCCTAATGGACCGGGGAACCTGTCAAAGGAAATATCACGAGTCCAGCTAGCCAAAATCGAATTTGAACTTGTCGTTTTTAATGACAATCTTTTCGGTTTTCTGTGACAGAAATGATACTAGAAAGGTATCAGTGGAAAGTTAATGAGCTATTTTTGGTTACTCAATAACCTTTGCAAAACCCTCTGAATTCGGATTACCTTTATTGATACTCAAGTGGTGTGTTCTCATATAGCTTTTTAGAATGAATGGGAATAAAATTAACAAAACAAAATACACCCTAAAATTCCCGTTTGATAAAAATTTCAAATTCAAGTTTTCCTAAATAAATAGCATGTAAGGGAGTTATTGGACTGCAGTTGTATTCATTCGCCGTGCCATATTCACATTCATGTAACGCATAATAATCTGTGCTTGGCAGGTTTTTTATTCCCTTGAAAGAGATAAGATCCGAAAGCGGTATTTACTCCAAACGCACTTTTTAGAGTGATTGGCCCAAATACATTTTTTTCTTTTGCTATGAATCATAGTTTTTCAGCTTTACACCATGTAGGCAGGTGATCAACCGTGTCCACTATAACATAAGACAGGTTGATGCGTATCACAATTGTACTGGTTTTTTCACCGTGTAAAGACCTATAGTCATCTGATTTTTACGGTGAACATTAACTGCGCTGAGAAATTCTCCGGGGAAACACTGCGAAAAATTTACTTTGCACGTGTTCAAAACATTACACGCATGAATTCTCAGTCCCTCCTCCGGTTACTTTATGCGAGCCTTGGTGCTTGTATTTTTTGATGTATGAAATGTAAACCAAAACTTACGTTTGAAACATGGAAGGGTATCGGTTGGTGTATTATGCTACTTCATGTTCTGAGTATATTTTTGTTGTTGCATCGAGAACTATCAACGTGTATTTTAAAACAATCCTCACACATCAGCATCAGCACTTTCGTGAGTTAAGTCGAAAGTTATGATTACTCCTGTGCTGAAGCTGTCAGTTTAGAAACGCTTTTGCTGGAACTGCTCCCGGATTTTCATCAGTGTATAAAAGATACGACAAAATTTGAGACAGGATTGAGGAAGAAATGACCAGTCAATACCGGCATTTCACAATAGGGCGCTTCCAAGAGTTTGTAACGCTTTGGCCAACCACAATGCGCGAAATCTGTCGACCCAATGCGCGTTTGGAAAGGGTCGACAGATTTCGCGCATTGTGATTTGTCAACGCGTTTTTTTACCTTTAATTTAATGAAGTATTTCCCCATTCCCATGCTTTTCTGGGCGCGGTTGGCTCTGTACAAAGGTGCTTCGTGAAGTAAAGCATAACTCTCTGCAAACAGCACCAGCAGGGCTAGAGCGAGGCGCAACATGGTTCACTGTAAAAACCGATGGAAAATCGATTAAATAATTAAATAATTAAAAATTACTTGCAGCAACTTATAAATTCCATTTCTCGCACTCTGTCACTGCTTACTCTTAAAAGCAAACAAGTGAAATACTTTTAAAGAGTGAGTCCCCTACTAAAGCACTCCAAAGAAGTGAAAACCACTTTAAAAAGATTGAAATTCTTCCAAGACGCGATGTAAGGGACTACTCAAAAAACAGTGTCCTTAGGGGTTCCTTTTTTTGAGTGATTTTCACTCCTTTGGAGTAGTGGTCACTATTTTGGAGTGGTTTGCACTCTTTAGAAGTGGATTTACAAGGGACTCACTCTTGGTGAGAGTGAGATATTCACTCTTTCCCTAATCCGGTCAAGTGGAAGGAATGTTAGGCTTCACGCCCCCTAAAAAAAGTAAACCTGGTCTTAAACAGAACGACTACATACATGTAAGTTTTTAAGTGGAGAGATATTAACCAGAATTTTTGACAGAGATTCTACGTGAGCGTGAACTTTCAGGAAAGAAACTGGCCTTGTCTCTCCTATTCAGAAATAGCTAAATGGCTGGTCTAAACATCCCCATGCTAAGGGAAATTTAATTATACCTCCCTTTTGTCTATATACTGGTGGTCAACTTTTGTCTGGTGCTTTGCACTTTTCTTTCCACGTCTCAACTTACCAGTAATCAATCTCCATCAGTCAATTTTTTTTGTGAAGCGTAGTGAAAGCTGCATGGCCGCAGTGGTATGTAATTTTCTTTCGAAACAACGTGTTTTTTTTAACAACCCTATACTTTTCATAAATCATTAATGCATGCATTAATAACGTTTGTTTTTTTGAGACAAAATACCACGTAGTTAAAATCAGGGCGTTAATATTTTGATAATAGAATTAAAAATAGAGGTTGGGGTCTCCTAAAAGATGCATTCAAATGAGCAATGGACCGTTGAAAATAACTAATTATACTTGATAGGCCCATAGGCAATGTAAGTGGAGAATTATAAAATGGCAGTAAGGCTCTACAAGCTAAATGAAGAACTTGCTGAAAAGTACCTTGTAAACTAGATTGTGCAACCTGATTACCGATGTGGCGGTCCAGACTCTTGACTCTTTAGGGTTGGCTAAAAGTGCTCCAGCATGTTTTTTTCTTAACTTTCTGGAAACTTTTGCAAAAAACCGGGAATGTTTTGCGGTTTTTTTTTACAAATTCTTATGGCATGGTCTACGGGCTGTGAACAAAATCAGGCAAAACGTATTAAACCGATAAAGAAAATCAGATTTTTTTATCAGCGGTAAGACGACGGAACAGGTTCTTCACTTCCTTGCGTGACATAGAGTTGGAACAAAATTATTTTTTCGGAAGTATAGATTTTGCTTACTTCTTGTTTGTGATAAAAAGCAGACAATGCAATGAACAAGGAAAACTATCCATTCAGCATTTAATAGAATTACAATGATTGACATACATGCAATATAAATTTGTTACAGATATGGTTTATCTTTAGAAAGTACGGGCAAATGGAGTGTATGCTTTTATAGGCTTTTTCTTTTATCGTAGTCTTTTCAGTATTGCGTGCAAAAAGAGATAAGCTGCCCACTCTTTCCCTTTGCACCTATATGTTCTCTTTATGCAGTGGCAAAAGTACCATTGTGGTTTTGTACACAAGATTCCAAAGGCCGGACTTTGCAAGCTTTTTGCCTGCTAATATTTAAGGTCTGCTTTTCTGACCAAGAAATCCAAGGATTTATTGTCTCCGAGTGGAAACGCGGAAAAGAAGAGTTATTACGTAGGATCATAGAAGGGTTGGGGATACGCATTTTGTATCCAAATGATTCTTCTTGTTTTGCTTTGATGTAAGTATTTCCTACTAGTTTAAAAAATGCAATGTGGCCTATACCATGCACCAACAGCGTAATTGTTATGAAATTAAACCTGTTTTGAAGAGCACCTTACATGTGTTTTTAATTGGCCACTTCGTCCTTCTCTTCTATTTTATCATATTCTCTTTCACTATGTCTTTGTAATCTTTCACTTCTAAAGTCACATTTGCTCAACTATTACAAGGCTGAAATGTAAATATTGCTGCTATAAAACACGAATTAAAAATCCCCGTGGCACTAATTGAGTTGATGCCGTTTTGAGGCTTTCGCTACTGAGGATGAACTACCAGTAGGGGTGTTTGCAATGTGGTTGGCAAACTCTGTCAACCCTACTCAGGTCTACATTGAGAAAACTTTGGAAGTTATTCAAGGTCACAATTGGCGATGTATAGGATCGCTTCGATCCATCAAGAATCAAGGAACAAAAATCGCCAGTTTCACCTGGCTCATCCTCAAACGGAATGGCATTTGGAGCCGCATCTCCGGGCCCGCTGCTGCATCAAAATCACGTCTAGCTGTGCACCACAAGTGACAGCGCTCTGTCTGGTACTGCGCAACTGGATTGCTACCAACTATGTCCGCGGAATCCACCCGAATCCATCTCCTATTGCCTATTCGTATACATATACCTTACCTTATCAGGCTTATTAAAATGTACGGGCTGTAGCATACTTCGCAAAACATGAGTGTCATACCCTAGCAAGTTTTGACAGTCACGGTTAACAATCAATGTTCGTTCACGAAAAATTTAGCCTTCCATGTTATGAGCGTCTCAAAAATCGGAAACGTTCCCGTTGCGTTGGACCGTTCCCACTGGAACGGTGGCGTTCCACTTTGAGCATGGACCGTTCCAGGAAGCTTTCCGCTTTCTAGACCAAGTGTCTGAAGCACGGCAGCTGCAGTGCAGCATTTTGTGATTTACTCCTCATGAAGGTTAACATTTCTACCGCTTTTCTTTTCCATATTCACCATGACACTATGTACAGAATTTAGAGTAATGTATCGTGTTAACGTCTGCACTCGCGAGTGTTATATTCATCGACGGGCTTGCATGGTACAGGGCTTTATCATCGCAATGTTTCAACTCATAAGTATCCCATCATATCAGAAACAATTTGGACATCTAACCTGTAATTGAAAGGGGTGCGGGGTTAGGTCTTTTAAAATCACTAGAAAGGTTGAACGACGCGACTGAGGCAATTAAGCTCGGCGTTGGTATTGCAGCCTATAGCGCAGCGATACATACACCGACATTATAATACTCTGCATGCAGTCATGCAGCACGTAATAATTTTCTTTCTTTTTTTATTTCAGTCTAAAACAAAATTTCCATCATCAGATTAACAAAGTTTGCCACAACACATTTCCATCTTCAGTTTACTTCCAATTCCTATTCAAAATTAGGGTTATCGTAAAAACAAAATGGTTTACCTACGCTTGTTTGTCGTGGCAGGCTCCGCTCTGGGACATTGAACTCCGCTCTGGGACATTGAACTGGGCGATATGAAGCTACCCGAATGAGGACGTTCCGGCGGGAACGCGTGTTCCCGTCGGATCGTTCTTATAAAGGAACACATCGTTCCATGTGGAACGCGACTGTTTCCAACGGAACGGCCGGCCGTTCCGGAATGACAGCACGGCTTTTCAATGGGAACGTTCCGAATTATAATATTAAACGCTCCCTGGGGGTTAAGGATGCTTTAAAACTTTTGCTACAAAGAAACAACTTAAAAAGTGCTGTAATGAAGATGTGCAAAGGCAGTCTCCACTAATATCGTCCAATAATATTCACTCGAAAAGAAAAGTATGTACCTGTAATAAAATATCGAAGCCAGCAGCTCATATGTAGTTGAAAAACTCCCACCTCATAAATGACACCAGTCCGCCTGTATATCGAGCTAAAACGGAAGTTGGGCTACTTGTTTACGCGTATCGTTTTCCCCGACAGGTTAGGGTCAGTTTAGCCGCCTACGTCATCAGGCGATGGAATAATTCGTCCCATGAGCAGGTGACGAGCCTAGTTAATTGTTAATTTACTTCAGACTTGGGGTGTTGACTTTCAGATTAGGTTGGGCGGCGCATTTGATAGTGCTTGCGTCTATGATAATCTATCAGTTTTAGCCCTTGAAAAATAACCGACATCTGTCATTTGAATGAAATTTCGGTCAATAAATGAGTATATGGCGGATGGTTGCGCGTGTTTGCGCAGACAAAAATGGGTCATGGAATACACGTGTATGGTCTGGAGTTCAAACCCGTGTACCGCAAAAAGAAGTTCAAAGTTAATCACAAATCTATATTTGGCTTCAATTCTGCGAACAAAACCCCTTGCGTTCCTAGACTTGATGACAGATCGTTATATAGTCGTGGTTTGTCTGTGGACTTCAGTCGAAATCCATTGATGCAGCTCTAGTGTAAGATTAGAAACACATTGGGCCGGGTTCCGACTTAAATGGTCGATAATTCGTAAGTTGGGGACGAGGCAACCAACGTCCCCAGCAAAGTAGAAATACTTGTAGGCTATAAGTCGTGCGCGTTTGGGCGGGTAGATCTATAGCGTTCCAAATACATGGAAAGACTACAGAGTGCACCTCACTAAATTAATTCCCATGGACATCAGTGATAAATTCCAATACATGTACTTCAAAATTCTTTTTAAAATACTCGTAAATCTCACAGGTATCCAGGCTGCATAGGAAAATGATGATCAACTCGTCATCTTTCATTTTCCTTTCAATTTTTGGTGGGTTGGGCCATGACTTTCTCAGAAATTCTCAACCGAAGAAGACCACCCCCAAAACGAAGGATATTTCCCGTACTGGGAAGTAGCCATTTGGAAACAGCATCCCTCTGCAAAACGGTAAAAGGTACCACTTTAAGCCCCGGTTACATCCAAATTGCGAGTTGGAAGCACTGAGTCCAGGCTAGAGGTTGAATTCCATATTTCTTCAACTCCCCAATGACGTGGCTCTCAGGACTCTCTATAATATAGAATAAATGATATCTTGATTGTATATCTGTTATTTAGGCACGAACTCGGCGGATACTGGGGGTGCACCCTATAGGCCGGGGATCTTTATTCCTTGCCCAGCACTCACACAGGGCGCTGGGAAGAGGAAATTGCTTTGAGCTGTCATTGGCCAAATATTGTGGGACCGGTGACTATACGAGATCATCACTTTCTTTTGCTTCCCTATTATAGTTACCGGGCATGCCGCATCTTTGATCGCCTCTCGCAATTTACACTAAGTATTAATACAGTGCTAACCAAAATAAGGATTATTCCGAAGAGAAAGAATAATTGCTGAGCATATTTCACTCGCTCTGTTCCCGAACCGCCTCTTTGCTGACTCATTACCGAGTTTTCCCATCAGGAATGGCAGATATTCCACACACCACACACATTTTCGTTTGCTAGCGTTGGATATCACCATCACCGACACATTTCACGAGTCGCTGCGCCTATGCTGTCATAAGCCGGCAGCTGGCAACCCAAAATGTTCCGCGAGTCTGCATCTGTGGCACCGTGTGTCGTATTTCTTTCGCGTTTATACGAAGCGGTATCAGGGACACGGTGAAAAAAATTCTCTCGTCCTTGAGCTATCTCGTCTTACGTACGACTTTATATCTCTTACGTACGACTTATGAATTATACTGGTAACTTGTATGTTCGACTTATATCTGGTACGTACGACTTACGTCGTACGCACGAGTTATATCATTATGTCGTACGTACGACTTATACGGATAAGTCGCATGTACGAGATATACATTATGTCGTACGTACGATATATAATTCGTGCGTACGAGATATAACTCATACGTACGTTATGATTTAGAAGTCGTACAAACGAGCTCGTACCATCCTAATGCCCGAATCGATTCCGATAGCCACAGGATTTGATCTTTGGGGACGGGGACCCTCCTGTTAGACAGTAGGAGGGGGTTGAACATTTTCCCCCGACTTTAACCTGACGTTTTGTTGAAATTCATCATTTTTATCAAGCCGACTCATTTACAATTGCTGTAAATCCGAACGAAGAAAAATTAAACATGCTATCCGGTCTTGAAATACGTGTGCCGCTGGTTCATGTAGGCTGGCCTGTATACGTATAAACCCAGTTTGATCTGTACGAAGTGTTACGACGTCAAGGACATAAAAAACGGGCAAACAAGTAGCTCTGTCTGAAGACCGGCCAATAGCTTTCAACAGTCGGGGGGTCCAATTTCACTCCTTGCAACCAAAATGAGGGTCGGATTCTTGAAAGATGTCTGGAAATAACGTTATCTTTCAAAGATGAAATGGAAAGGCAGCATTACCTCGTCCTTTGTTCGTGATTATTGTCAGGCAAGTATGTATGGTCAGTGGAAGCCTCCGTAACGGGATAACTAATTAAGTGATTATTTCGAGGGAATAAAATTCAAAGAGAAGAAACTAAGTTACGAATTGACAGAAAAAATTAAGATGTGTACATCTGCCCAACAACTTTTCTTCTGCTTCCTTTGGAGAGGCTCTGTGCTGTATTGTTCAAGAAATAAGGCATTCTTTCTCAAGCGTGTGACGATTTGTGTACAGTAATGCCGTCGACACCGCATTTGTTATTTTTTTGACCCACACTTCTTGGCCAATAGGCCAAATTGCATATGAGTGTACATCATTAAAGACAGGTAAACAATCAAGATTTAGGATTTATGCGCAACATTATTTTGATGCGCAATATATGGCGAAGGGGGACCCCCTCTATTGTGTCTTCATTTTTGTTGACGGAATCTTTGTAATTCCTTTCAGATTTTTTTTGGGGGGGGAGGTTGAAGTAGGTACAATAGCCTCAGGGTTTGTAGCTTGCGCGTCACATTAAGGGGGGGTCCCCCTTCGTCACATATCGTGCTGGGTATATACGACACCGGCACGTGGCGTACATTTTGGATGTTTTCGTCACTTATATAAATACTGTAACATTGCAGCACGCATGCAGTATAAGTTGCTATTCTGGACCAATTCCACCGTATTTCCGTTGCGTGATCTTGCTATACGTTGTCTTAATCGTCAAGAATAAACCAACTGGATGTTTGAGACGGTGAGTTCTCAGACCTCCATATACCGTTCTGTGTACGTGCGGGTACGACTGGTTTATTCTACAGCAGAAACGAGTTAACATTATTAAAGCAGTGTGCAATTAGTGTTCTGCCTGCTAGTTTACGTATCTGGATGGGCACTGCCATGGCAAGTTCAGAACTCTAAATTCCCTTTTACCCTTTTAGCGAAACGTTGTCAATAAAGAAGTGAAAATACCCACTCTTATTGTAAACCAGGCCAACTGCATTTGAAAGAGAAGTTGCTATCAATTTGCTTTGATAAAAAAAACCCTTCAGAATGCACCTTTGTGTCTCAGATAATCATATTTTCAACTTCTGTTTCACTGATTCAAAGAATAATTAGGATTCCGTATCCATGAGCCAAACTGCTATGTTATCCCAGGAAGAAAGCCTAATATTTCATTGGTTTGTACACAAAAAGCTCCCGCAGTTTTGTAGATTCTCTTGGACTCAGTTTTCTCTTCTTGGCATATTCATTCTTGTTTATGCGCAGAGCAATAAGAAAGTATCTATCCTTCTCTCAGAAATGTGGTTCACAATTTGCACAGGAACACCAATGCACTGAACCATGTCTCACCTAGATGACTTCGCTGCAACAGCGCCCCCAGTTGTCCGGGAAAGCATGGGTATTTTTACCTGTTAAAAAAGTGCACGTTTCCATGCATTTAACCAATAAAGGAATGTAAAAGAATTTTCATACATTGCATTGAAGACGAATGTAAATGTTGAAGAGAAATAAATTGTGTCTAAGGAAAATACATTGCAGCAACGTTTTAAGGGTATCTGGCATAAGGCAAATTACAATGAGCATTTTTGGGTTGAAATTGCTGAGTTTGAAGAAAAACGGCCTACAGGGTTTGTGTTTCATCAATTCCACTTCTTTACATCCAAAGTGAATGAGGGGGTGGTAAAACTTTACAAAACCTGTAATAGTTCAAAGCAAGCATCAAAAACTTACAAAATAGTGAATATTAGTCAGCTGTTTTACGTGTTAGTCTTGTAGTGTTTTCTTATCCTGTTTGCAGAACACATCCCATGCATTAAATGGGACTCGTGCATCCATAGTCACGAATCATATGCAACGTATGGACCCCGGAGTTGTAAGAAATCTTTCCGAAAAATACACTTAATTGGAGAAATAATACATTTTTAGAAAACGATAAAATTCCCATCCCCCCCAAAAAAAAAGTCCGGCCGAACGGCAATGCAAACTTAAAGTTCTTTCTAAGTGGCCATCCGCCGCCGTAATACATGTAGTGTCTGCCTTAAAGGGCATGATATGAATTTTCTTGGGGACACGTTTTGTGCGACTTTCTACTCTTCAGTGTACAAAAGGTATTTGAGGTTCCTTTATGGGCATTCTCACTGAAAGGTGCACCTTTTGAAAAATTAAATACACGTATTCCACTGTTGCCGTTTTGTCCCTCCAGGAAGACACTGTGCAACAGATTTTATATTCAAATGGCGAACCGAACATTGCCGCTAGCTGCTATACACTTTAACAACAAAACGCTAACGGAAAGTCAGTTTGACAGCAAACTGTCATAAATTCTGGCAAAATTTGGTGATAGATAAAATATAGTGACACTTTTGCTCATGCATATTTAAAATTGAATTACCATAATATTCCCAAAAGCACCAATGTGCATCATAGAAATAGCAAAATGACATACCTATGCAGGTAAAGGCAAAGGGGACGCAAACGTGCACTTTCAATGCGTGCTTTAAAAAGATAACACGGTATCAAAATGAGTCGGGTGTCGAAACAACTAAAGCTGTTCCCCTTTTCGTAATGTAGGCCTACTCAACATGGTTGTCATGCCATGGATAAAAACAAAATGGTTCCTTTTTTTGGACTCATTTGGCCAGTAAAGATCTTAAATGGCGTCATCAAATTAGTTGCGTATTATAAAGTTCTTGGTATTTTTGGAGGGGGCTGGAAAACTGTGATTTTTACAGTAACATTTTGTGGTCTTTTTTCGGGCTATATTTTGGGTTACTTGTAAACGTTTTGGGGAGTAAGAGAAATAAAATAGTCTCTCTAAATTGCCTTGCTCTCATTCAGTTAGAGACGATTAATTGCCCCCCTTGGGGCAAATGAATTTTGGGCAAAGATCACCAAGTGGTCACTTGTGGACACTGTCAAACAAAACATGGGAAATGCTTGATTTTGTTTGCTTTTTAGCTAATGCCAAATAATCTGCACGTCATTTACAGTCTCTTAATTAGAGCACTAGACGGTGTCTTTGCACGGCTGACGTGTTTGCTTCATGAAGCACAGACATCCTGACCAGGTCTCATAACACCGGCTTTACTTATTGTGGTCCATCGCTTTCCTTTTCTGCTGCTTCTTCATTCACACCATCAACTTTAAATTGCTGTAACTGCTACACGCTTTGACTAATTTCAACCAAATTTGGCCCGATGGACAAGTGACCCAAGTTTAATATTTGGTACACTCTAACCAGGGTCAAAGGTTACCCAGCGGTCCTTAAAGTGAAAATTGCAAAATTACAGTTTTTTCTCCACAATCTTCGTTTGTTGAAGGCTAAACTTGGTCTGTAGGTTCACTAGGCAAGTCTCACGTAGAGTGTACACAGAATTTGGCCAAAGGGTACCTAGAGGTCAGAAGCTTTCATTTGATGAAAATGTTCTTTGGCACAATTTAGCTGTATTTGGTGCTTGAAGCCCTACATAGGGTCATAGCATGTTTGGGTCGAAGGTTATTCAGTGGTCAGTAAGTTGTCATTTTACTCGACTGTGGACAAAATGCTTTGTTTCATCACTTTTTCCAACTTTTCAGCCAAACTGTGTCACTTATTGGTCTCTTAGAAGTGACATTTTGATTCCCCTTTTTGGTGCAAAGGTCAGCAAGTGGTCAGTTATGGCCATTGTTGCACAAAGCAAGGGAAGTATTCTTTTGTCTACACTTTTTAAAGTGAAACAATCTACATTTCAGTTACAGCCCTCTTAATAAGAGCACTAGATGATGTCTTTGGAAATTAAGGTCAAAGGTAAGATAGTGGTCAACTGCAATCATTTCCGGACAAACATCTCAACTGGGTCATTTTTCAAATGCTCTGAACTGGCTGGATGATTCATTGGGTGACATGAATTTGGACTGTCGAGAAGGCACAAAATGTAGGCAAGGTGATTGTTCACTAAAATGATCAGTAAATTTTGTCTGATACTGACCACTGGCTGATATTGTGCTTTGTGAAACACAGATATCCTGCTTTAGCTCTTCTTTCTCACCATCATCTTTAATTGCTATAACTGCCCAGCTTGAATGCTTTGACTAATTTCAAGCAAACTTGGCAATACGGACAGCTGACTCAAGCTTAATATGTGGTGCACTCTGACCGGGGTCAAAGGTCACTCAGCGGTCTATTTAGCCGTATTTGGTCAAATGCCTATTCGTTTGAAGCCCAAAATAGAGGTCATCGGCCTTGGTTTGGTTCTAAAAAGTCACTTCAGCAGTCATCAGTGGTCGTTTTCTCCAATATGGTCTAAATGGCTTTGTTTTTTTACTTTTAAGTAGTTGTTTTAGCCAAACCCTGTCATTCATTGGCCTCTTCTATCTTTTGCGTGTTCTGTGTTCAGATTGAGAGGAAAGGATCACTTGATAGTCAGCATGTGGTCATTTACTGGAAAATGGACAAAACGGTTTGGTTTCTTCACTTTTCTCAATGAATTAAATCAATTGACAGTTTCATGTGTATTTTTGCAGATTTTGGGGTGAGTGTTTTTTTTTTTTCTTCACTTTATTTTCCATGATTTCAGCCAATCATTGTCAGTCATGGGTCTCTTGCTAGAAGTTTTGTTTGGACTGTTTTAGATCAATAAGTGGTCAGTTATGGACTTTGTCGTACAATACATGAGCAATGGTTTTCAAATACTTTTTAAAGTGATTAATCTAAATGTCAGTAACAATCATGTTAGTGAGAGAACTTGATCATTTGTAAACTAAGGTCATTTGTGAGCAGAAGTCATTTCCCAACTGACATCCCAATTGGGTCATTTCTCAAATGCTGTGAAATGTCTACTACTCTCTGGTGACATGTATTTAGTTAGGCCTGAGTGTGGACTGTCGAGTATGCAAGACTTCTAGACAAAAATTATTGTTACCAAATGGTCAGCACTTGTCTGGTGACACACTAGCCACCAGTTGATGTTTGTGCTTTGTGAAGCAGAGACATCCTGCTGCAGTTTTTTTTTTGTCTTTTCCCCAGTCATCACACAAAGTACAAAAGATAATGACAGACATAACCCATCCATTCAACAAATGTTACAGGTTTAATCGTTCTTGGATTCGTCTATGCCCTCCACTCACACGTCGGCTTCGATACAGACAGTCTTTTATTCCTAATTCAATACACTGTTACTATGCAAATGTAAGACGGTCACTATTTATTTGGATATTCCCCCCCCCCCGACACACTTTCATTGGTAATAAAGGGAAAAGGAAATTGTTATTGACATTTATGTTACTTTAAATGCAATCTTCTTGTTTTGTTATTGATTGTAATTGTAATGTCAATGAATGCCAGAACTTACTGTCTCACTTTACTTTGTAACAAGCCAATCGAAAGTAAACTTTTACGTGAATTTTTGCATGGACAATAATAAATTTGAATTTTTTTAGAATCTTGATCCTGTCCCAGGATTCTAAATAAGTTAAGTCTGGTCAAGTCAGTACATTCAACATGGCAACAAAATGTTTGGTAATTAATTTTCCTATACCGAACAACTGCTGAACCGAACAGTTAGCGTGGACCCTGTTGTGTTTGTTATAGCGGTGTTTCACTGTTCATCTATCATTAAATAAACCACCTTGTAACTCAATCTTGATTTCTGTTTCAGTTTAATTGCTGCATTAGGTGGCTGTGTTACTCACACTTGAGCCGTGCATCTTTCAGAGTGGACCCACTTTCGTCACGTAGACCATCTAGCTGCACAAG